ATTGGAAAAGTCAACTTTTTTCTTTATAGCGAACAGAGCTTGTATTGCTTTGTCAGCTATAGTTTTCATTGCTAAAGTAAATTTTCCAGTAGGTGTAAGTTTTAGTCCTAGGTAGGTGTATTCTTGTGTTATTTGTAAAATTCTGTTTCCTATAGAAAAGACTGGTATTTGCTGTTTTTTAGTTGATTTTTGAAAAATCATTATTTTTGTTTTTTTCAAGTTTATTTCCATTAACCATTGTTTTCACACCAGCTGTTTAGCTGATCTAAACAGTTTTGAAGGCCTTGTTTTGATCTTGACAGTAAGATAAGATCATCTGCATATAATAAGCAGTTCAGTTTGGTTGTGTTAGGAAGCATGAGTGGGTCATAGGATAAATTATTGAATAATCGGGGCAAATCGTTTAGATAAATATTAAATAGCAGTAGGCTTAAATTAAAATACATCCTTGTCGAACGCCTCTGGAGTATGGAAAGAAAGGTGTTCTATATATGTTGCGATTGGAGTAAAGATTTTTAATGAAATTGTAGAATTTCCTCCCAATTTTGTTATGCAGAAGTTTTAAAAGCATTCCATCATGCCAAACAGAGTCGAAAGCTTTTCTGAAATCAACAAAGCATGCATATATTTTCCTGTTAGTTGTTTGATTTACATACTTATCTATTAAAGATATATTTTAGGGTTAGTATATGATCGGCTGTTCTATGATTAGGTAAGAACCCAATTTGTGAAGGATGAAGAGTGTCATTTTCTTTGGTAAATGTATGGAGTCTTTCGTTGAGTATTAAACAGAAAAATTTACCAAGACAACTTGTAATACATATTCCTCGATAATTATTGCAGTTAAGACAATCGTCTGATTTGAAAATTGGAGTTATTAAACCTTCACACCACTGACTAGGAAAGTTTCCCGCTTCAAGTATAAGATTAAATAGTATTATGAATCCTTGAAGCAAGACATGAGAGTACTACATTTAATTATTTCATTTTTTATGCGATCAGAGTAGGCAGATTTATTTTTCTTCAGTTTTTTTGCAGCATTTCTGATTTCTGAATTTGAAATAGGATGATCTAAGTTTGCATATTGGTTTTTGTTCAATTCTTCAACATTTAATGTTTGTGTGACATTGTGTTGCGACTCATTAAAACTATGTTTTGAATGTAATGTTTGGAAGTGAGATAACCATTTCTCTTCAGAGATTGTATTAGAAGTTGCATTGTTTGGCATTTCATCATCCATAGTTTTAAGTACTTTCCAAAAAGATTTTCAGCTGTTTTTTTCAAGTTCAATAATTTTTTGTTTGTGGAATTCTTCTTTCTTGAGTTTTAAAGTATTTTTGTAAATTTTTAATTCATGATGATATCTATTTCTAAGGTTTATGTTTATTGGATCTCTATGTTTTTGGTTAGCCAGATTTCTCACGGCATGTCTTTTTATTCGACATTCTTTGTCAAACCATTTTTTGTTAGTTATATTTTAAATTTTGTATCTTTTCCTAACTTTCTTAATTTTAAGGCTTTTGTTTCCTGCATCTAGTAGAATGTCTTGAAATTCATTTACACAGTCATTAACTCCTGCATTATTTGTAGGGTAATTGTTATTTAGAAAATTTTGAAATTTCATTTGTATATCAGGCAATCTAAGACTTTCAGTAAAGATTCTATCAGAAATATTTTCCCAGATAAATTGGGGTGGTAGTTTTTTTGAAAAATTGCTGTTAGGTGTGTCTTGAAGGATTTTATCTGCGTTATCCTTTATGTCTATCCAAAAGGTAATACGACATAGTCTATGGTACTAATACCATTCTTACTATGAAAAGTGGTTTTACCTAGGGAGTCGCCTTTGGTTCTACCATTAAGAATTCGGAGATCACAATTTTTACATATTTCAAGAAGATGTTTTCCATGACTATTTACTGTATTATCAAAATTTTCTCTTTTGGTTTGGTATGAATCGTCTTGGACAAGGTTTTGTATATGTTTATTTCCGTCTGTTGAAATAAAGTCCCCAAGTTTACCTGTTCTTGCATTAAAGTCGCCAATCAGTATCACATCTCCTTTCCCAGAGAATGTGATCATTTCTTCTTCTAATTTATCAAATGTTTCGGAATCAAAGTATTTTGATGTTTCTGGTGGTATGTATATTCCACATAAATAAAAATCATTTTCTGATTTTAATATTTCTTTGGAGATTTTACACCAGAGAAAGTGTTTGGAATTTTTCAAAACTGTAACATATGCTTCAAATTTTGCATTAAATAACAAAGTTATGCCTCCAGATAAGCGACCACTATGATTTAATTTTGGAGGTATAACATTGGATATTGCCTTGAAACCAGGGACATATATAGTAGTATTGGACCAGGTTTCAGTTAAAAATATAAAATCATTTGTTTTTATTTGATTAATAAAATCTTCGTTTTTTGATTTATCACCAAGTACCTTACTGTGAAGGCCATTGATGTTCCACATACTTATGGAAATATTTGACCGCATTTTTACCGACAAAGAAAGAATGAAATAATTGTGATTTTAAGGAGTGCTTAAGAGGTGAATTTTTGGTTAATCCTAATTCTAATGTGCAAATTGAAGAAATTAAGCTAATATATACATATATACATTACTAGGTTTTAGCACACATACCCATGAAGTAGTTTAATTAGTTCAATGAAGTGCGATGGTATTTTGGAATGGTCATTGGTTAATCTTTCTGGTGTTGCTTTCTTCGGAACTGGGTGTGGTAGAGTATTCGGGGAGGGTTTCTGGTTTGAATAAGGTATATTGCTTGGTGTAGAAGGTAACTTGTGTTGGGATTTCAATGTATAAGGTGGGAAGGTAGGAGGTATACAGCCAGGGGGAGGTATGGGGCCAGGAGGAGGTATGGAACTAGGGGGTATGTGGCCAGGGTGTTGGAAGATAGGTGGAGGAAAGAGCACAGGATGAGGAATAAAGCCAGGAGGGATATTTCTTGGGGGAGATGTGGAACTGTGGGGTTGCATATGGTTAGGGGGAGGTGTAAAAGCAAGGGGAGGTATAAATCCAGTAGGAGGTGTAAAACCAGGGGAAGATAGACCCTTTGAATGAGTTTTATGTTCATGAGGACGGAAATGGATATTTAGTTCGTGATTTGATGGTGTTAACATGTGCCCTTGGTTTGATTCTCGTGCATGTGTTTGTCTTGTTTTAGATGCTCTTGTTGTGCCATTTTTTGCATAGAAGTAGGCGGTCTTAAGATTCTTGGCAAAAACTCTAACGCCTATTTCATTTAAATGTTTCTTGTCATACAAGTGGTGGTAGGATGGAAAAATATCATTATGGGCGACAAAGTAGACGATTGGGTTTCTTTGAACATTCCTCTTTGATTTTCTTATTGATTTCATTTATACGATTATGGTGATCACCCATCCTTGGGAGAATTGAGGACAAGATAATTTTGCACTCTGGGTATTTCTTTGTAGTTGTGTCTACAACATTTAACATGTCCGAATAAATTTTAGAATTTTCTTCCGATTTCTCCATGTCATTTGTTCCACAATGTAATATTATAGTTTTTGGCTCGGTGAATATAGCAGTATCAATAATTTCTTTGGCCTGCAGGAGTGTTGGGCATCTTATATATGAACATGATGAATCAGGGCATAAACGTCTGGTGTTTAACATTCGACCATTTGAATCACACATGATTATTGTTTCATTGGTATAGGTTTTCATATCTGAATTCTGGTATTTAGTACTTTCTTTTGGATGATCAGCGGAGTTAACATTTTCCGGCGTGGGTCCATCAGGTTCAGCCTCGTCGGTAAGAATGGAAAAAGGATTGTCGGTTGGTAAGGAACAAGATATCTGTTGTGTTGGAGGAGCTGATGGGGAAGAATTGTGTTGTTCTTCGGCTATCGTTGGGGGTTGATCATTTGAGAGCTCATTTGGGAGGCTGTCGGGTTTTGATTGTCGGTGTTCAGTAATGGTTGATAACTTTGTTTTCAAATGTTGGATTTCATGTTGTTGGTTCTTGATCGTGTGTCTAAGTTTTCCAATTTCTTCTTCCTGCTCATATTGTTTTAGTGTTAAATCGCTAATTGATTGTTTCATTAATTTTGCATTCAGTTCTGATTTTTCAATTTTTTCTTGCATCATTATAAGATTGTTATCTTTTTTCTGAATGGATTCTATAATTTCTTCCATAGATTTTGTAATGTCTTGTGTAAATTGAACAACATCAGACTCTAAGCATGCCACTTGTGTTTTGAATGTGCTAAAAGATTTCTCACGTGGTGTCATTATTGAGTCTTGTTCATTTGTGTTAGACTGTTTTGGTGTATGTGGGGCTTGTGCTTCGTTACAGGTAGATGGGATTTCGGTTGTCGAGTTTATGGTTTTGGGTTTTTTGGTATTTTCATTTTCCTTCATGACTTCGTTGATGAAATGCTCGAGGGACTGTCGAGATGTTTCCAAGTTAATTTTAATTCCGGAATCAATAATCTTGAGTAGCGTGTCGAATTCTGTGTTGCCCCATTCGTTTAAAAATTTCCCTTGAATTTGTATTCGCCCGGTGCTAACATAAACAGTTATTGTTATTATGCTTTCCTTCGAATGACTTCCAGAATATGATATATTCAGTATAATTTTCTCACATTTTGATGGGTCATTCGCAACCTCTTGCTCTTCCCATCGAGCACTGAGCCTCGTGTTTTCTTTCAAGCCGGTAGAGTATCGAAAATAAAATGTTTCAATCCATAATATCAGTCTCTCTTCTGATGTCCAAAAAGCTGTCATATTGCCAGATGGTTTATAGATGGTGAAATCAAGTTTTTCATATGGAATCTGTTTCTTCCTTGACTTCTTAAATTCGTCAATTTGGTAGCGCGAAAATGTAGTATCGGGCTCCGCGACGATCGTTGGTACGGTAGTTGATTCGGTGTGTTTTTCTTGTTTTTCGTCGCCCATTTCGGTATCAAAATTATTGTAGATTCTTCTCGAAGGATTTAACTATCTGATTTACCAAAAATATCTCAAAATTTACTCCTTTATATCACAAAAATATTACATTTTTACTCCTTGCTTGAAAGTATGTCCGCCATGTTAGGAAATACCCATGCTAATTCATAAGGCTATAGCCTTAACTGTTCGTCCATTTTTAGCCACTTATTTCATTTTTCATAAGTGGGCCAAAAACAGCAAAAAATAAGGCTTTAGCCTTAACTTTTCGTCCATTTTTGGCCACTTATGTCATTTTTCATAAGTGGGGAAAAAACAGCAAAAAAGTAAGGCCATATATGGCCTTAACTGTTCGTCCATTTTTAGCCACTTATGTCATTTTTCATAAGTGGGCCAAAAACAGCAAAAAATAAGGCTATGGCCTTAACTTTTCGTCCATTTTTGGCCACTTATGTCATTTTTCATAAGTGGGCAAAAAACAGCAAAAAAGTAAGGCTATGGCCTTAACTGTTCGTCCATTTTTAGCCACTTATGTCATTTTTCATAAGTGGGCAAAAAACAGCAAAAAAGTAAGGCTATAGCCTTAACTTTTCGTCCATTTTTGGCCACTTATGTCATTTTTCATAAGTGGGCCAAAAACAGCAAAAAAGTAAGGCTATA